TTAGAAACATCACATAAGTACACATTTTCGAACATTCATATATTTGAAATACAAAACTTACATTAGTAAACTAATTACTGAATAGTTTGCACTCCATTAAGTAGACAAAATAGGCTAAGCAGCAAAAGCCGATTGAATTAAATAAAAATATTTGTATTTTTATACAAATATTGTGCTTTTAAAGAATAAAAAAGAACTATTATTGAAAAATACAGGTAAGAAATAAAATATACGCGTGCTATATCTATGTATAGCTCTCATTAGCTACTTATCTAAATAAAAATAAATGTAATATATATCGCCTCGCCTCGCGTTCTAACGACACATTCATTACATTCTTCTCCAATTATTAAAATTTGAAACCACAGAAGACTTGTAAATAAATACATGCTAACATTTTCACTTATCTTTTAAGAGGGTTGTTCCAAACACAAATTCTCCACTCGATGTGCTTTTGGACGGCAGAAAAATGTTAAGAGATTTTGCTAACTAGTAAAAGTAACATTAATTTTTGTTATAAATACATAAGAATAATAAAAAAATATATAAGGGACGTAGAAATCATTATGAATTTTCCTGCGACAAATCTTAATGAAGCTTTGTAATGGTATTAAATTTTAGTACCTTATTCTTTACAATATCATTTACACGTGGAACAACCCGGTGCTCTAAATAATTTACTACTATGAGTACAATGATTTCATGTGCTGCGCCGTGAAATATACAACAATTTAAGTACTAAACAAAGGTGGGTTTTATTTGCGATGACATTCAGTTTACCAACTAAAAGTATTTTAAAGATGTCAGAAAAAGTGGAGTTGAAAGTCATATCGAGTCACTGAGATAAACCTTCATAGACCACATATGTATTAATTACGCGAGTATGGGCGCATTTTAGTTCTCAACTAGATCCGATAAAAATCCTATTAGAAGATGCAAAAGAACTACATTATATCTTACTAATGAAGCAAAAGAGAAATAACTTTAATTCCGAATTTATATACATTAAAAATAGGAAAATCGGTCCAGACTAAAAATATCTAAGAAAAGTCTCTCTTCACCGTTGTATACATGGAGTTTAGAGAACAGGAGAACGATCGCCATAGAAAATAGTGTCCCAGAAATATGGACACCATAAGTGCGGCGCTGCGATCGCTAAGTTCGCTCAATAAAAGATTTGTCTATTTTGATAGATGCTAATGAAGTTATTTCTCTATTTTTTAATGTATTTTTTGTCAAAAATTAAAAAAATTACGGAGCATAAAAATTTTCTCACCAATGCCGCGAAGAAAATTTGTACACTATTAAACTAACTTCATCTACTTGTACTCATAAACAGCTAATTTCGCAGTCACTACTCACCGACTGCAGCGCCGCTATAAATTCTACAAATTTTCAAGGACAGGCGGGCTATGCTTTACTGTACTTAGCGATCGTTCTCCTGTTCTCTAACCTCCATGGTTGTATATATTGCGATTGACAATCACTAAGCTTAACATATTTGAGGCCTAGTGTCCACTTACCGTCGTTTCATAAGCACGTTTTTGTTTTTTTGACGCTTTCTGTGCACGTTTGCAGCATGCAACAAAGAAAATGTCGTCTTAAGAGGCTAAATATTGCATTTGCCTAGCCGCATGCAATTGTTAGCCAAATCGAGTAACCATATGTCACATGATGTGTACTGGGCTTTGGAAATAAAAAAGGTTATTATAATAAAATTATAACATTTAGACTCATTAAATTACATAACTAAGGTTGCGAATTATCATCTTATAACTCTCGCAGTAATAATTTACCATAATTGATGTTTTTTTATAAGTATGAATAAAGTCAATGCATTTTTTGATTTAGGTTTATCTAATAAAATTAAATGCTGTTTGTTATACCATTATAATATCTAGATATTTTTCAAATGAAAAAGTGACCTATGACGTAATAAGGTCCATTTGAAGTTTTCATTAATCAATGACGTTTACGTGGACAGAGTTGCGAGGACAAAAACATGTGACATCATTTGTAGCCTGCATGCATCCAGCAAATGACGCGGTAGGGGGCAGTAGGCCTTCGTTTAAGTAAAGGCGTTTATTCCTAAAAATTGCTATAAGATAGTTTAATTTATGAGCAAATTATAATAAATCGTTTATGAGAACCAAGATACGCGATACTCACATAAAACAAGCGATGAAATTCTAAGAAAGAAAATATAGAATTGTCAGTTACGTAAAAGCCCATACATAAGTATAAAAATATATTTTTAAAAGACTAAATGTTCATTTCATTAAATGTATATCAATAACTACTAGCATCTAATAATATCTAATATAATTTGTTGCGCTGTACACAAGTTAATCAAAAAGTTGTCTAGTAATTCAAAATGGAAATATGCTAACTTTAAAATACCCACCACTACCTGTAATGGGATTTTAAATGCAAGCAAATAAAGGCCTTTATAATTAAGTGTTTTCATAGCTGTGATTACTTAGGTAATTTTTGAATGAGGAGTACCACCAGTCTTTATTCAAAAATTAGCTTCATCCAAAGTATAGTTTACACTGAAAGTAATAAATATTGCCATACTCAATGTTAACCATAACTAGAGATGAGCTTCTTCGCAGCCGTAAAATTATAAAGGTCTTAATAAAATGAGAATAAGATGCGATTTTTTACAAAATATAGAAACAATTGAGTGAAGAAGATAATGAAAACAAAGATGAAGCCATATTTATAATATAACTTTAGTAACACATGCAACAGTCAATTTTATAGAATTAAATACCCTAAAATTTACAAGTACACTAAACGTAAATCTGAAACAAAGACTTCATATGCTCTTCATTATTGGCACTTTAATATTACAATATTTGCAGACATTTTCAGCAGCTTACAACTAGTCGCTTTATATTTACATGTGCGCTTAAAACAATAATGGCTGTGATAGCTTTACAATGTCGATGCAAGTTGTCTCTCATGAAACATTGTCATTATTTATAATTGATAATATTTAATTATCATATTGATTACTTATTACATTAAGTACGAGATTCGTCATTTTTATAAAATAGTTACGTATAATATGTCATAAAGTGAAAAATCTTGTTTCCATTTGCCAAAAATTTGCCAAAAAATAAATTATACCATAATTTTGAAATGAAATGAAAAAAATTAATAATTTAAATGTATACTTTGTTTGCTTTTATTCAATGCAGACATATTTTTTTAGTTTTTGTTGTAAATAATTTATTTTAAACATGTAAATTAACTTTATTAAATTTCAGAAAAACGCCCAAAATAAGCCTTCAAAATTTATCTTTATTTATTTCCTTTTCCCCGGGCAAAATCTCTTGATAAAACTTTACCTCAGTTACTGGACTGATAGTTTGTAAAAACATCTATTTTGTAATTAACTGTGTTCACTAAGTAGCTTGGAAGAGTGAATGATTGAGATCTTTTAAAAAGTGATGAACTTAATCATAACAATGTATAAGTCTTACCCTATTAATATAATTATTATATGCATAAAACTTACATAATGAGTAATTGGCGCAGTATTTAACATCGGTTTTATGTACACAAAAAAATTATTCGGTATTGGTGTTTTCAGAATATAGAGATACACTCAGTGTATAGGGGATAAAAAAGAAACTAAGTATATTCAATTGATTAAAAAGTCATAAGTTAACATTGATGTGTTATGTGAAGATATGTAAGTCAGTTTTGTCCTCATGAGTACATAATTTAATTAAATAATGATTTTGTAAAGCATTGTTGTAATAATGGAAGGTAGAGATAATCCTAAGGTGATCCTTAGTGTAAAAAGTTGTGTCCTTAATTAGCAGTAACTTGAAATGGCGTTACTGTGCCAATAGGCTTTAACTTTTAAGAAAGAGCCAAAAGATGTTAGAGTAAGACAAAAGGTTAACATCCTTTCTCTGAGTAGCCTTGCCAACCTTGCGATGTTCATATTTAAGAATAAACAGCTTGCATGTAAGATTTTCAGATTTATTTGAATTAAACATGGTACAAACTACAACATTAATATCAAGTTACGTTAATTATTGATTGTTTTTCAGGTATAGCTCTACTTTCAGTTTAAACTCTACACGCGTTACACTAGCGACGCATAGTTTAAATCTGTATGATATCGTTCTCTACCCTCATAATACTATTTCGCAAATTAGGTAGACTTTTCTATGTTAATTGTTTGGTGTATATGTGTCAGATCCGTTTGTGTATATAGCCAACAAGCCGACGACGTTTTACGTGTCATCACTCATATCCCAAACGTATTGACTCTGCAATTGTTAAAGCTACATACTTACCATATAACAAGCTAATAGACGGGATATCTGAGTTTGAATCCCTCGTGATTTGATAATTCATAACTTCGTATTATATATTTTTAGTCATTTCAGTAATGTTCTTTAGTTTATTTCATCAGTAATGTTTTTTAGTTGATTTTCAATGTTGCGTTATAATAGATTTTTATAAGTAATATACAAACATGATGTATATCTAACCACAAGAATATCGCTTAGTGGTATTCTAATTGTTTTTTTATAGAAAAGGTTAAGCTTATGGGTTTGATCGACTTGTACGTGTGTATATGTGGGGCGTACATTGTATGTACTATTCGATACAACGAGCCGATATTATGTGTGTGCTCATACGTGCAGGTCGTGCACGCAAAGTAAGCACAAATTGGTGTCGTGCGTGTGCACGTGTACAGCGGGGACGAGTTAGTGTTGTTTGTACGTACGCTGTACGCGTTGTGTATGTATGTGTAGTGAAGTATCGATGTCGTGTACGTTGCTTCAACTGACATGAGCGTCTCTTGGCTTGGTCGAGTTGGATGTTATTTTATTTATTTATTTTTATTGCAACCTTATTAAAAATTACAAAGGGTAGATTGTGTGTGTGTGTGTGTGTGTGTGTGTGTGTGTGTGTGTGTGTGAGAGAGAGAGAGAGAGAGTATGTGTAAGAGCGCGTGCGCGTACGTGCGTTCAGACGATGATCTCGCGGATGACGCGGCGCGCGCGCGAGTTGGGCGTGGAGTAGCCGGACTCGAGCGACTCGTCGTAGCTGAGCGACAGCGGCGGCGGCTTGTCCTCACCACCCGCCTCGTCCGCGCACGCCTCGGGCAGTCCGCTCACCTCGTGGTACGGCGACTCTGCAACCGGCACACACCCTTTTATACCTTTACTCTTTATAGGTGCTACAACCATGCTGCAGCTACATTATACTTGCAGCACGAATGGCTCTGCTCGACCAGGGTAGGACCACCTCTCATAGAATACCAGCGTAAAATAGCAGCATATAGTAGTACCATAAACTAGAGAACTAGAGACCCCATTTACTGCAAAAGAGGTACTACATCTTAGTCCTCAGGGGTGACGACGTATTCTCACTTCGGTTCCGAATCAAAAATAGATGTACATGCCTACAGGCCACAGCATCCACTCAGTGGCGAAGCTAGAGCTCCAAGCTAGGGCAAGCCCAAGATATAAATTGATAAAAATATAGATCGTTTTAGATAGTTTTTTAGCAGTTTTATAAAAATAAACCAATCTTGATCTGTCTCCACGCTTCAGTTTCATATTCAGTGCTGTCGAGAACGTGTTTAACAAAGCACACAGAAGGCATACCACTGCTAGATAGATTGTATTACATATCAGCAATTGCATAGCTTCGGTGGCTTTGAACAAAGCCGTTTGGGTTTGTTTAAGCGAAAGAAAAAAAATATTTACATCCAATACAATACATGAACAAAAGTGAAACACGAACAAAGTACAAACAAACTATATACAAAATTAAAAAAAAAATATTTACATTCTAATAGATAAGAGATAAGATAAGATAAGTGGAATCGTCTCGCTTTCTTATGGAAAGATTTAATTACGTCCACGTAAAATGTTGGTGAACGTTTTAATTGTACCAATAACTGTTTTTAATTGTGATAATTGATAAGTCTGAAATACATTCTTAACCTTGTGTATTATCTCAACAAAGTTTAAAGATTTCCTCTCCGATTATCACTTTAACAGACTTCAATTCATCACAAGGAACACTATTATCCTCCATTTTCATTAAAAATCTTTAAAAAAGCATAAATTTTGAACTCGTAATATTAAATCGCTTAAGATAAGCACACAGAGTAAATAAACATTGAAACGTGAAATGAACTTGCAAACGTATTGCCCGCGCGCCTCCGCTTTTACCAAATTTATTCCCAAAAGCCTGGCTTTAAATCACTATACTAATTGCTATATATAAATCGTAGTTATAGTTCATTATAGAATATTTTGCCATAGGTTAGAAAGAGAGCGAACGTCTTATCGAAAACCCCGTAAAAAGCCCACGCGAGCGAGGGAGACAACTATTAGCTCTATTAAAACTCATTTTTTATGACAGCAGCAGTACCGCTAAGGCAATACGAGGTCATCGGTCGACATGTGTCGAAGAGTGGAGTGCGCGGGAAATTTGAAATAGCTTGACATTAACATTTTACGAGTTATTTTATTAGTTAATATTATTGATTGATTCAGGTTTAATAAGGCAAGCCCGGCTTTTCGACTTTAATGGAAGCTTCGCCACTGCTTCCACTTACCATCAGGTGGACTGTGTGCTCATTTAACATCACCTTTAATCTCTCATAATTCCCATTAATACCAATATACTTTATACATATATGCTAGAATGAAAAATCTTCGACATGATACATGCTAGTAGATCTATACAATAGTAGATGACAACGTGCAACAGTGAACTGTGTATAGTTTAAAGAAATGAAATAAAGCAGCGTTAGCACCATATCGTCATCCATGGTGGCACTACTCCGACGGCGTGTAGCAGAAGTGCGACGGTCCTGTTTTTCAAGAAAGGCGATAACACTCTCTCTCTCTTTATGTCGCATCTACGTGCTGTTTACAAGTTCATATCGCACGCAGACTCAATGACTGCTCCTGAACAAGCTTTACATAATAAACCACATACATATATCCTTCGGCAAATTTTACATAAGTACAACAACACGTAAAAACAACCTAAACACTGCGTTGCGTATGTGGACTATGAGAACACTTTGGATTTCGTCAAAATTTGGAGGATACTACAGTTCCTTCAGCGGTAGCAAGTTGAATGTTGGTATATCGAAGTGCTGAAGTGTTTGTACAGTTGGGCTACGATGGCTATCCGAGTACAGAACCAGAGTATGAAACCTATCCAACTGCAGAGAGGTGTAAGACAGGGTGACGTTATATCCCCGAAACTCTTCACCGCTGGTTTGGAATAATACGTTTTCAAGCTACTGGACTAGGAAGGATACAGTATCAACATCAATAGCGAGTACATCACTCACCTTTGATTGAACGACGATATAGTCCTTATGGAAGATTCAAGATAGGTCTTACGATAAACGTGTACTAAACAAAGTGGAAAAACCATATTCCACCTATGCCATTACTTGTTGAGAGCACTAAGCTCGAAGTTGTTGATGAGTTTGTTTAACTGGGACAAATAGTCCGACCGGACGGACGAATAGACCGACAGAAGTATGAGGAAGTTCAAGGTTGTTTAGCGACCTTAGAGAGGCCTATGCTTGAGGTTTCTCTGCGTGATAAACTTAGAAATGAGGATATCCGCAGTAGAACCAGAGTGACTGACATAGACCAACGGATTACTAAGCTAAAGTGGCAATTTGCTGGCTTTATAGCTCCAAGATCCGACAACCGATGGTGAAGAAAGGTTCTCGAGCAGCTTCGGTAGGTGAAGTGGAGGACGGTTCCCTACTAGATGGAGTGACGACTTGGTAAGACATGCAGGAGATCGATGGATGCAGGTAACTCAGGACCGTGCTCTGTGGCATTCCTTGGGGGAGGCCTATGTTCAGCAGTTGACTTGTGAAAGGCTAAAGACCTCCAGACCGAATTTCGGTCTCGGTGATCAGTCTCAAGCTACTCATCGACGCAGTACAAGATTATAGTGCTCAAGTGTACGCGCAAGCACAAGTGCAGTTTTTATTCCTTCACTCTTATAATTCGATGGGACGGTACACCGACACGACCAGAGAGAGATTAGGCTCAGGACCAACGGCTTTACGTGCTTTCCGAGGCACGGGGTGTCACTGCCAACTTACCAATTCCGGGCAGCTACTGAGAAAATTTTACGGAAGACGAACGGAAAAACTCGAACCCGGGATCTTATGACCAACGAGGCAGTCAAAGGCTGTAATGAACAATGGATGTAGCACATGATGGACATAATGATTGTTCATACCTCAGATGCTGGAGCCTATCTGTTCGCTGGTAAACATAGCAAAACCGTGCAATACAAAACATTTTAAATCTTCAATCCCACTTTGTACATTAATCATTATTTTACATCAAAAATAGTTTCTAGTTAAGTAGAAAATTATATTTTTTTAACTCACCAGTATGCTGATCCATGCGTTTCTTGGGCTTATGCACAGATGCATAGGAATCGGAACAGTAGTCCTGTCTAGAGGGGTTCTGCGAGGTGCGCATGTAATCAGTGTTGGGCACGTGGCTCCCATGCGTGGGGTGGGCGTTGTGGGCGGCGTGGCCCGCGTGCGGGAGCGGCTGGTAGGCCGCGTAGTCGTCGATGGTGCCGTAGCCGGCGTGCATGGGGTCGTAGCCGTAGTTACTGGTTCTGTCCATCATCATCATGCCCGTATTGTTGGCGGCCGCCATTTTCATCTGCCACAGAGAGTCTTGCGAGTTGACGCTGCCGCCGTTATTGCTGTTCGCGTAGCCTTTGTCCATATACCCTGTGTTCACCCCTGTTGACAATTATTGTAAATTAGTATGACCACAGCTAAATATCCCCGGCTAAAAATTCCAAGTTGCTAACTCCATTTTTGGCTAAATTGTCTATTTGGTATTAAACGATAGAGCAAAAAATAACGCATAATCATCAAATCAACTACACAAACTGTTTAATTTGGATGTTTTTATTTTTACGTAAGTTTAATTTTGGTTTCGGTATTTTAACGCTATATTTTAAAATTAAAAAACCTGGTTAGGTGTTCGACAACACAGTAGTTACGCTACAATATTTAAGTCCTTAGGTTTTGTGTTCAATTCTCGCACGAAGCAATTATTTATGTGCTTTGCTTGGTGTGGCGGATTTTTTTTTATCCACAGATTGCTTCAGATAGGGATAGAAGCTTATTAGTTTAGTTCTCAGTACAGAACAACATAGCGATTTTCTTACTATCCCACAAGAATTATTGCCTAATAAAGGAAATACCATTATTCTGATCAAAATAGTACATACACTAACACATTAAACAATGTTCTTAATACTATAGACTACCCTACTGAATCTAGATACACCGTTGGAAGATAACATTGAACATTACTCGCCAATAACGTTCAATGTTAGAAAATGCACAGAATCAAATAGTTGATGTTCCTTTCTTTTTACTGCATTACACTTATCTAGTGAGAAAGAAAACGTAATTAGCAATATAAATTCTTTAGAAATTAATGATAATGTTATGGTTTACGATTCATCATCGATCAAAATTTTAATGATATTTATATAGAAAACTGTGATTTATTTATCCAATTTCATTGATAATTTAGGCCATCCTGAATTAGTTCCGTACTCATCAAGTTCAGAAAATTATAGCGATACTTCCTTGTCTAAGAAGAGTAAATTCAGAAAAAGACGATCTTAAGTAAATAAAAATACCTGGTTTGCAGAAAAAATAAAAAATTGCGCGGAAAGGTTCACAATATTATGGCAAAATAAAAAAATCTTAACGAGTCTATGAAATTTTAGGGAAACTCAAACGTTTAAAGGAAAAATGCATATGTAGCAACAAAACAGGCATAATTAAATGTGGCATGGTAGAGAGATGAAGATAGAATCGAAATATTCAACCAATTTTGGAAAAAATATAGATAGGGGAGAAAATTTTTTGTTTATGATACTGTTCAGTGAGTTTAAAAAAAACGGCAAAGGGACATTGACTTATATATTATTGGCATAAAAAGAATCGAAAGGTGTCTAATAATTCTCGAAGAGCAGAGCCATTTAAGTATAATTTAAAAACAGCTGATGAAATTATGGAAGAGTATGGAAAACAATGTATTTAAATACTTTGAGAATTGCAAGAATGACTGTAATTGCTTGGAAAGATAGAATGAAACAATACTTGCATTCCTAGTAAACTTAAAAGTTGTTAAAAATAGGGTTAACCCTCGCAAACAAGCAAATATGGAATAATATGGATAACAATGGAATCCCATCATTGACGAGCTTCATCTTCCAAAAAATATTTGCAAACTGATTGGAAAACAAAAATGGATTTGTACAAGTTTTACGCATCTAACTGCGGCAAATCGCTCACCATACAACCGCTATCTAAAACTACTTTCTTTGAGGTTATGTCATCGAGTACTTGATTGTGTACGGCGTACGGGCTATCCTACGAAATATATATTAAGTATTTCTAGTTTATTTACCATCATACAGGGCAGAAATATAAACTAATTATTCGATATTTAGTAGTAGGTAGGGTTTAATTTTAGTAAATTTTAAAATATAAAGTATCTAAATGAAATTACAAATCAACCATCGTCCCCCTGAAATACGCCAACGCTCCCCATATTTTTCTGGGCCCCTAATACCCCGCTCTAGGTCTTCAACGCCCACAAGGGGGCGTTATCGCCCACATTGAGAAAGACTGAGTTATATGGTCCGCCCTTTACCACTTAAGCTAACCGATCCACTGGACAGTGTCAGTTATTATAGTTCTACGCGGATATCGAATATACACATGTATTTTATTCTGCAGAAAAATTCCGAGCATATCCTTTTTTATCTAACTCACGCTGAATAACTTTGAGCTTTCTCATACGGCCAGCCATCAATGGCAGAACATAATGGTCATGTAGGATATACAGAAGCATTTACTCATTTTTTTTTTCGAGTTACTGTCAAATATTTACTTTTCAAATAAGGTTCCAGCTGTTGTAATATGTTTAAAACGATCATTTTTTTTGATGGTTTATGCAGACTGATAGTATTGTATAAAAATTATAAAACGACAAATGAATTTGTATGTATACTCACAGTCCATATTAGACATATTTTGTCCAACGTGCGTGGGTGTGGCGTGAGGCGCGATGTGGTACCCGTACGCGGCTTGAGTCGCGTACACGGCGTTCTTCGAGTCGTCCATCGCCAGCTCCATCGAATGTTCCAGAGCCTTGTTCTCCATCCCGGCGTTCGGATACTCCATGTAAGGCGGCGGCGCCTGATTTTGCGGGCGAAGTTAGAGACATGCCGTGCCCTATAGAGGCCATCTCATAATCTTTTTTCTTCTTCTCGGTTCTCTTGCATCGGCAGAAGATGAAGAGGAGACACAAGAACAGAACGAAGACAATGACGGAAACTACGATCGCGATCAGTGTGGCGGTCGTCAGGGCCGACGCTTCCTTGATGTAAGCCGGACCAACTGCAAACGTAATAACTCGTTTAATAACGTGGGTATGTACGAGTATGTGATAAATATATATTAATCTATATAATATTTCCGCGACAATTTAATTAACATTGTAAGTAATATGTGGATAGCGTTGTGGGCTACATTATTGTGAATACATCATGTTATTGTATTTTAGATATTACTGTATTTTGTAGCTGTTTGCTGTTCCTTAATAAATAAAAAAAAAATAAATAAAACTGAAGTGTCTGTTTGTAATGTCAAAATAACATCTTTTTTTACAAAATTCATATGAAAGTATATACGGTAATTATATGAAGAAAAGAATTTAAAAAAAAATGTCTGTCTATCTGTTCTAGTTAATCCCCGAAATTGCTGCACCGATTTTAGCGGGCTTTCACTGGCTGATATCTGATGTTATAAAAAGTAATTTAGGCTACTATCATTTTAGAAAACAATTGGGGTTTCTCGCAAAAAAAAAAACTAACCATGAAATCCAATCGTAAAAAATTTCACGCGGACGACGTTGCGGGGAACGGTTATTTATAAATACAGTTAAGTATATATGATTTAAAAATGACAGTCTATACAGTATATGGAAGTGAACTAAATCAAATATATATATATATATATATATATATATATATATATATTGTATATAATGTATAAAGAAGTATATAATATACTAGCTTTCCAGGCAGACGTTGTTCTGCACTTTTCGACGACCCTTTGTCATGTCCTATTAAAAATCCTTAAATTCGCCAAAAAAAATTGTGGGACACTCATCGGCAAAAAAAACTATCCTATATCTCAAGTTATACCAAACTGCACACGGTGTGCAAATTTGATTAAAATCGGTTAGGTAGTTTAAGAGTCCACCACGGACAAACAACGTGACACGTAATTTATATATATTAAGATATAGAAGTATACAATATATACAGAAGTATATATATATATATATATATGTATATATATATATATATATATATATATATAAATAATATGTTATAATATAACATATTATTTATCTTACAAATTACATATTATGTAATTTGTAGAAATCACGTTTTTTCAAGGCAAAAAACATAATTTAAAAATTATAAAAATATAAATGTTTACTCCTCTATTCTCTAGTCTACTGTCTACGAAGGAGTTGGATAGTAAAACCTAAGAAAAATTTAAGTGTTCAGAGCTCGATATCTCTGCAATAAGAATGTATTTATCTTTGATAAAAGAAATGTAGTGCAAATCGCAAACTCAAAGAATCATGAGTTCAAATCAGCATTCGACTACTTTCGTAAAACACTTCTAACAAAAGGTGAAATAGTGTAATGCAATATGATAAAATAGTGTATGTAGGAACTGACTGTCGGCCTCGACGTATTCGCTGCAGACGTCCTGGTTGTGCAGCAAGCACAAGCGCAGGCGCAGGCGGGGGTTGAGCTCGTCGAGCGCGCCGGCCGCCCCACCGCGCGGCCCGCCGCCCGCCCCGCTGCCCGCCGCCAGCACGCCGCGCTGCACGCTGCTGCCCGCACCCGACACGCTCAGTGGCAGCGTCTCCACCACCTGCACGTGTCAATCATTATTATTACACCCCTTCACAGCTCCACTGCTGAACATAAGCCTCCTTCAACAAACGCCACAAAGCACAGTCCCGAGCCACACCAGCATCTGTCGACTTCCTGCATCTCTTACTAAGTCGTCACTCCATCTAGTGGAAGCGCGCCCTACACATCACTGACTGGTACGAGGCTGCCGCTCGTGAACCTTTCTTCGCCATTGATTGTCAGTTCTTCGTGCTCTAACTTCAGCTTATTGATCCCTTATTATCTTTCCCAGTTTTATCGGTTTTTTGGACGCGAGTCAAAGGACTGGCAATATGAGCGCGAGTGACTGGACACATAATCGCGCAAGCGCAGTTCGAATCGAATACTGAGTATGTAAGCGTCGTTCTATTACGATGAATAGGTGACATCCACCATCTCCGTTGGCTATTATTATTTCTTTTCTAATAATTAGTATATTTTTTATAGTATGAAGATGGCAAACCGGCACACAGTCCACCTATTGATAAGTTGCTATGGCCCATAGACATCTACATTTATTCTCGATAACGAATCGAAATGCAGATGCGTTGTCACACAATAAATCAATATTTCGTCAAGACAATAGCTCATGCTACAATCCGTTTAATGACGCTATGAGCGAGTCGTTAATAATTGTCATATTTACGCTAAAAAGTCTAGAGAGAAATCTGAGTGAAAAGCATCACGCCATCTATCGAAAAAAAAACCGGAAAAATGCCTGCCGATCCAGCTACTGTTATAAATATAATCTATTTAATGCCATTGCCATTGCCATTTTTCCGGCTAATTCTATATGCAATTTTTCTGATGTATTTATTATTATTTTTATAAACCTATATGATATTTCATTTCACCAGATACAAAATGAAGAGAACCTATGAGGCATTTTATATAAACCTACAAAAGTGACAACGCACGTGCAGTCCCATTATTTGCATGGCCTCATTGTATCTACAGATACAGTAGCATCAGGTGGAGATATCATCTGTTACTCTAATATTATAAAAATAAAACAATAATATAAACCGGTTAGGATAATTGACTAGCTAAGTAGACTTTCTGAAATTATCAACTCTAAGAGAAAACTATAAAATGTTTTTTTTTTTAATTTAGTACAAAAAAAATTCATATACCGCGGTTTTTTTTTTCATATTCATACATTGTCATCCGATTCTGACCTATATTAAAAATTACAAGTCTCTAGCTAATCGGGAAGTGCTCGAAGTTTGCTGATTTTATTGTTGTTGTTGAGTTGCAGGATTTCACAGAAGCCGTGTCTAACAAACTGGAAGCGTTTGAGATGTGGGTGTACAGACGTATGCTAAGAATTTCTTGGAGAGACCGCGTACGAAACACCGCCGTGCTACAAAGAATGGGGAAGGTCACAGAGATACTTACAACCATAAAGAGGAGGAAATTGGAATATTTTGGGCACGTGATGCGTAACACCAAAAAATATGAACTCCTTCAACTTATCATTCAGGGGAAAGTGGCAGGCAGAAGGAGGCCTGGCCGCAGAAGGATATCGTGGCTGAAGAACTTGCGCCAGTGGTTCGGGAAGAGCACAAGATCACTGTTTAGAGCAGCGGTCTCAAAAGTTGAAATCGCCCTAATGATTGCCAACCTTCGCAAGGAGACGGCACCTTAAGAAGAAGAAGGATTTCACCACAAACGACAGGCAAACTGGCAGACAAACAAGAAAGTGACGCAATAAAAACGTGGTAAAATAAATTAATTTAACGTTGTCATGTGTCTTAATGTTGAGTTATGTCACATTCATTAATTATTTGTTTTCTATTAGCGATAACGAACTCAGAAAGTCAACTGGCTAGCCCCATTCGACTGGTGGTCCTTTGTTGACCCAAGAGCAAGAATTTAATTAAAATTAACATAATATTACCAATATAATTATCTAGCGACTAACCGTGAATTTACTCGTGTTATTTTATTTCACTTATAAATTATATCTAGATTGTCAAGAACTCAACAATCTATATATCGTACAGTATATTAGGTTGAGTTCAAGTTATAATCTTGGATCTATTGAACCGATTGGAATAAAACATGGCCGTGTTTAAAGTGAAATTATTTGCCACCTAATATTTGATCGAAAGCGGCAAGTTTTTCGTGGCGATGATAACATCAAGTTTTGTAACTGATTATGAATATTTTTTAAAAAACTTTTTGGTATAATTACCTGCCAGCCGCCAACTCTGCCCAGGCCCTCTGCCACGCCGATGAGTCCTAAGCAAGTAGGTCCAACACTGAATACAACCGCTCTTGTACTTGGATCGTAGGTCAGTTGCTCGGGTGGTGGGATCTTATCCACTTTAGTTGTAACTGTTATTTCATTGGAATAGTTGCTCTGGCCCTTCGTATTTACTGCTTTTACCTGAAATGAGACTTAATTTTAGAAATCTACCTAGGGTAGTGGAACAAAAAAGTCTTGCCAAATTTAATGTATAAATAATTTTGGTACGCAAGCAAACGAAGATCTGATCTATGTCAGTATTGATAAAATTGATAATTGCACTTGCAGTACAGCGGTAGTGAAGGAAAACATCGTCAGGAAATTCACGATTGAGAAAACAGACATGTGCGAGAAAAAATAATTAAAGGTTATGTAATCTCTGTTCACGTGCATTGGAGAAATGAGGTTACTTCATCCCTGTCCCAAAAGCAGTTCAGTAAGGGGCCCAGCAGTATGACGTATGTAAAATTAACATCATTACTTTTTTACAAGCTTCCCTAGGCTATTTAGGTCATACTGTCATTAGTTGAATGTAACAAAAATTATCATTATCATCATAACCCTTTACGTGTCCACCGCTGACCATTGGCTCTCCCAAAGTAATCTCACAAAGCCAGCATCCATTGACTTCTTGCATCTCTTATAAGCGCGTCACACCACCACCTAGTTGGGGTCACCGTACACTTAATTTACTTATTTTAATGTCCATATAATCGAATACAAATACATTTAAGTATGTAGTAGTAATATATACAACATGTAACATAATTAACGCACTTTGAGAAAGTAGTTTGTTCAGAATCGTTTACTGAATCGGTTCCTATCATTTTTAATATAGGAATTTTTTTTCCCAAAAATAATTAAAACTACGTAAATTACAGTCACACTAAATCTGTACAATCAAAACAAACTGAAATGGACCGTAACTTAAGGCAATAAGACTTTTAAGAGTGCAGTTTTATTTGTATTATTACTAATTCTGTAATTCAATAAAAATAAAGAAAAATGAACTTTATTTCAAGCACGTTAAAGTCTTTGCTTTCGTGGATTTGTACTGTGACCACAACATTCTTCCGGAATTAGTATAACTAATTTGATAAATAATCAGTGCATAAAAATGTTTAACTAAAAATTCAGTGTATGTATTATGATTATAACATCAATCTGAGGGTGTGCGTTAATTACGTTACATATTGTATATTTAAATCTCTTTGATCGAATATCAAGTTAATAACAGCTCATAAATATATTGTATGTCCACATATGAATATAATATTCATACTGTATGTATACTATGAGTGTAAAATATTAATATTATTCTCCACTTTAATATCAAACTACATAATATAACAGTATCACGAGTAAACTACAAATTACCATGTCGCCGATAAAAAAGTATAAGTATCAATTTATTTTTGAAGGCCATGAAGTAATGTTCTTTCTTAACTAACCACAATCGCTATTGTATATCGCTGAAGAACTTTTTGTTGTTAAGTGTACAGATAAAATAATGTAGTGGGCAAATCTTTTATGAAATGCATGACCGTGCCAGATAGTGCATTGGGTCATTGTCAAGTGAAATGTTTTTACGAGCTATCAAAACGAAACTTTAATAATTTATATGGGCATGAGCATATTAGTCAATGAAATCTTAATTTCTTCTCTTGAAAAACACCTATATTTTATTTTTTAAAAATTAAAATCTAATATAACTTAAAATTGATAAACCGATCAATTTTTCAGACTATATTAAATTAAATAATGCAATAATTTATTTATGTTAAACTTCAAATTAAAAAAAATCCTTAAATCATTGATAGACTAAGTTTTTTATTATATATAATTGGTTGCATACCGAAGTGATTCAAATCTCAATAAATTGTAAGGACTAAATTACCTTGAAAGTGTAAGTGTTATGCTGGTCCAAGCGCGTGACGTTGCAGGGGTTGGCGCGCATGCAGTCGTACTCGCGCCAGTCGTTGACGTCGCTGCGCGCGGCGACACATTGGTCCTCCGAGCCGGCACCCCTGGCGACTCTTCTGTACCACACAAAGTATTTTGTGTTGGTTAAGCCCCCGTCGAAACCGGCCTCCCACTTCAGGGTCACGTACGTAGAACCGATCTTCTGGCTGGTTAAACCGCGCGGGGACTCCGGAGCGCCTTTCGGCTGCATTCGTATTTGCGGACGAATGCTACCGAGGGAGTTCTTCACGTTGCAGTAGTAGTCGCCGTAGTCTTGTGGCTTTACGTTTCGCAGCTTTAGTACGCTTAAATACGAGTCGTTGTCTTCCGTGATCGTTGTGATGTCGTAGTGGTCAGAGGACTGTAGCGGAGAACTGCTGGAGCCAAAGAACCACAGGAAGTCAGGCTTGGGGTAAGCTTGAACTCTACATGATATTTCAGCCGCCTCCATTACGTCGAATGCTACTTTCTTCTGTTGTCGAATCGAAATTGGTTCATCTGAAAATAGTGAATATTATTTTTATGTATTGAATTGATGCGGAAATAATTTAATTTATATTTTTTTAAACAATAAACTATAATATTTACAATTAATACTAATTATACACAATATATAAAAAAACTATGACATAGAAAAACTAACACTAAAAATTTAAATAGTCAAAAAAGGCCTGCTCCCCGTGGTATAGTGTCAAGAACGCTGGCTGCGTTTCCTCGCTGAATAACTATACTTAGCCTCTGAGCGAGGAAAGAACCAGCCCTATTATCACCAGCAGCGACGACCAGCCGTGGATACAGTTCCTTTAGGAACATCAGTGCACGTGGACCCCACGGACCGATAGTCTCTACAGCAAATGGCGCAAATATGTAGTCATTTCTCAAAGAATCATATTTGCGTCATTTACTAAATTCAGCTGCCTCTGATGCCGCCCCAGCTCTAAAAGAGGTACCCTTGAGATGAGAGGCCGCCAAAGTGTCAACGCAAGTAGCATACCACACTAGGGCTTTACTTCTCTCCCAAGGGACCAAAGTCATACCGTCGGGTCTCTTCCCATCGTCTCTAAATATCCCGCAAGGCTCTAAAACCGAGGGGATATTTATGGAGAAAAGAGCCCTTCGGATCACTTCGTTCAAAGAACCGTGACGGGAAAACCTACCTGCACTTTCCTTGCATGAAAGTCCGTGGAGCCCGAACTCATCGACGCTGCTACCACAGGGACACTAGTAAGGTTGATTTATACTAAATTATGCAACGTAAACTTTTATTTTTGACGTTTGTTTATTGTTCGATAACCAATAATTCACGACATTTTTATAGGAAAACGTTACAAACAGTTAGAAGTTACTCCCATAGGATTTTAAATATTAAAATGTAAATAAGGTACATAATTTCACGTTATACTTACGCTCAATTCGAAGATGCATAGAAGATTCAATTTTTTTTACTTCGTTTTCAATCGCACACGTGTACAGGCCCCTGTCTTCGGGTATCAAGTCGTTGATATTCGGTCTCGCTTTGCCGTAGAATCTGAGGGTGCTCTGTACGTTGTACACCGAGTCCCTGCCTTCCGTGACGTCGGTCTTCACTTCGTACAAATTCACGTCTGGTTTAATTTCCGAATTGTTTTTGTACCATTTGACGGTTGGAAGGGGTTTACCAAACGCGCTGCACGATAGCGAAAAGTTCTGTTCACGAGAGCGTTTCGTCGCATGAGGCTGGAGCTTGGAATGGAATCGCGGTGGTTGATGGACTTCCAAAGTGACGGATGCTAATTCACCATGGCCCAGTTCGTTGGTTGCTTGGCAGTGGTAAACACCTTCGCTGCCAAGATGGGCGTTTGGTATGTTGTACGTTACTCCCGTAGCTAAGACTATGGGGTTAGCGTCCGATGTATCGATATCTCGAAACCAGCGATACTGTGGAGCGGGCCAGCCTGGAGGCTTCGCGCTGCACGTAAGGGTCACTCCCGCTCCCTCTTGGGCTACTGGCCTTTCAGGAGTGATATGGGCTCGCCCTGGCTTATGTCGCACCAATACCGCTACGGACGCACTGCTGGCCCTTTCAACCCGATTCCCGCTGCTGGTAGAAATAACGTTGACAGCTCGACACGTGTACGTTCCCGCTACATCTGCGTCCACCCTGCCCAGGGTTAATATATTTCCTTTCTGACGAAACTCTGGTTTTCCCTCCATACTCCATTCTACGGAGATAGGCTCGGGATTAGCGGACACCTCGCAACGAATCTCGACATTACCACCTTCCTCAGCTTCGTACGTCTTTGAGTCGATCGTGACCGTGGGAGGGTATAGGACATCCAAAGTAATTTCCTTTTCACCGGGGCGACCCAGGCCATTATCCGCCGTGCAGGTGTACTGACCGGCATCCTGCACTGCCACGCCCTGTATTGTATGTGAGAATGAGTTAGAAATGTATTTGCCATTCCTAGTCCATCGCACGCTGGTTACTTTCGGCTTAGCGTCTACTTTGCACTCCATCGTGACTGTGCCGTCAACTTCGACACGAAGAGGATTTTCTGGACCGACTTCCACTCGTGGAAAGTCTGCAACAATATAAGAGTAGTTACAAATTATATACCAAATAAAAAAATCGGAATATTAATATAAATATGTAGATTCCCAAATACGTGGGTGATTAGTCGAGGCACGTTACGTTATCTCTTTCAACAAAGATTGCAATTAAAAGAGAAACTGGTAAAGTAGGTGGTTGCAAGTATAACTAAAGTTTACTTCTATACTACTCTACATGCCAAGCGTAGCATACATCTAATACAGGAAGTTTATGTGCAGCTGCAGTGGATTTAATGATGATAACTGATAACGGTTAACGAGTAGTAATTAGGCATCAATAATTCGTTCTTAATACGAAGATACTATGAATTATTAAATACTGATTCATGTATTGAAATAAATTCGAGAATTAATGCATTTATTAGTGTTTTCTTCGGTAAGATTGCCAGTCGTTGGTAAATATTGCCATATAAAAAACTTTTTTGTGGTAGATTGTTGTAGGTGCACTCGAAAAATATGACAATTGAAAGAAGTAACTAATTGTAAAATATGGATTAAATAACCGGACAAGTGCGAGTCGAACCTCGCATATGAAGGGTTCCGTACCATCGTAAAACACGTTTCTAGTAGCGGAGCCCCTTTAATTTTAAATTTATTTTTATTTTTATTATTTGTTAATATAGCGGCAAGCGGCAACAGAAATACATATTCTGCGAAACTTTCAACGGTCTACCTATTACGGATCATGAGATACAGCCGGCTGACAGACAGATGGACGGATGGACGGACAGACGGAAGGACAGCGGAACCTTAGTAACAAGGTCCCACCGGTTACCCTTTGGGTACAGAACCCTAAAAAGTGAAAGTTTAAGGCGGAAGCATACGCAATTTCAAAGTTATGAAAGTGCGTAGATATTGCGTACCTACTCTTCCGTTACCATCTTGAAATCAAGCCCGCGAGAATTTCCCAATCTCTTGATTACATTTAACCAGAAATTCTTATGCGAAACGGATGCACTGGCGTTCTAGATACAAGCGCCTGCCTACAAACACGAGTGTTTATGTCTGTCGGAACTACGCGTCCGATTTAGAACATACATTGCGTTCATTAGCGGTTCACGCCTTTCATTCGGGTCAGTTGATGCGAGTCTGGTAGGCTTATAGATAAATAAACAGGTATGAGAGAAGTTCGGACAATATAAATATTTATAACACTGGCTTTAGATTGATATGAACACCATGCATGCGGGGTGAGTCCGGACGTTTTAAACTATATGCTAGGACTGCTAGGTGGTAGCTAGGACAGCTTTTCTGCGTAGCAGTCGGTCTGCCAACCTTACCCATTTTTGCCGTCAAGCTGCAGTGCGCACTCTGTTGCGTTCCGGTCTAGAGTGTGTAGGGAGCTAGCATGGACCTAGAAAAAAGGGCGGACGCCGTCTCTTAAAACAATTACTGACGCACCCATAGTAAGTCAGTTCGCTAATACAAACAAGCTGGCACGCACACATGCACACCATAGTAAGTCTACCGCTCGCCATACGCTCCAATCCGCGCCCGCTTAGTTACTCACACATAGTTAAACGGCCGCCATTGCGGTGCGTCAATTGTTTCTGAGCGACACTCTGTCCGCCCTTTTTTCTAGGTCCATGGGAGCTAGTATAATTTACTATTCGACATTTGAGCTTGTCCTGGATGATGATAACGAACCTATGGTCTTCTTTGTTTACCATTAGCCATTTATCGTCAAGTGGACTGTTGGTTCGTTTGTCACATCAATGTTATAAAAGTTGTCGGCTATAAGGGCACATACAAACGGAATTCCGTTTCGGAATTCCAATTCGGTATTCCGAACGCACCAAGTCCATATAAAATGAATGACCCGTCACACACCTACGGTAGTTTTACGTGCGGAATTTTGCGGGCGAAACGGGATTCCGCATGTGTGTGGCCGACCCGTTCGTTCCGTTTCGGAATTCCGTATGTAGTGTTTAGCGGGCCTAAGCTTATAAGGTCAGCAAACTACCGTTGTTACTTACTATTTGGTGGATTGTAAGCACGTTTATTAATTTATTATTAATGGTACATACATTACGATACAAGTGTAGCCGATTATTGAACCGTGTGAAGTTAGCGTACGAGCGAAGCAAGTGCACTAACTTTAGACGTTTCAATAATCGTTACTTAAGTTCCTTATATTGTACATTACTTTAAAGTACAAGTGACTTATAACCACTTCTTAATTGAAAATTTGTAGAATACTAAATGATTATAAAGACAGAAATCGTATCTAAAGATTTAATTAAACGGTCCAGATGTTGGCTTATATGTAAATGATTTATCAAACCTGAATTCACAAAGGTCTTATTTTTTTAGCAATTGTAATGTGACGGTAAATGGTAGTAATAGCCATTGTATTTTTAATAATTGTACTTTAAAAATACAGTTCAAGCTAAAAATGTACAAACAATTTAAATGATTTTATGTCATTAAAATTTTTATATTTAATTTCATCAAATTACTTAATGTTTTGTGGATGATTATTGATTAGATGTTACTAATTAAAGTTCTGTTGTTCTGTATTTATTATAATGTTTCAATAAATGTTTACATTTTTTAATAATTATAAAATATTTTAAATGTTATGCGTGACTCAAGTAAAACAGCGTACAATAATCGGCTAGTTATGTCCCGCATGAGCGTGACTTAAACGTGGTTTTAAGTCACCGTGTACTACTATAAACATTCTTCGTCATCAAAATATTTACATGTTCATTGCCGAACATAGTCTTCCCTGCAAGTCTGGCCAGGCACCTATTAATCAATCTAGTTTGAGACCACTATACACTTCACTTACTGGTATAAATCCATTCGATAATTTTTCTGTGCCACTGTTATTAAATACAAACCAAAAATTATTAAATTAAAAAAATATTAACAGTGAACCGGGAGTAAAGAAAAAAAATTGGAAATAACAGTTGAAGCAAGATGTAAGATAAAATTAAAACTTATCCGTGGTATTTCAATTCAATGGCGTTCCTACAGGTAAAGGTTGCGCATTTTTCTGAGCAATGCAGGACTTTGAATGTTTGTGTAAAACGTGAATGTGAGATGTCATATTACGCAAGAAACAGAAGGCTAGCCAGACGCAAGTCGGTTTATTATTACACAAGTTCATATCTTACAGTAGGAAGCCGCGTATCGAAAGATTAACGGCAGAAGTATTACTGTAAGCAATAACAATTTTGATTGGTAAGCCCCGATCGGAAATACAGGTTAATTGTGCAAGTGTATCCATTTCACAAGCCAATCGCAGTCAATCTACAAACGGAAGATGTAAGCGGGCAATATAATTAGGAAACTACTAAATACGAATGAAACTAATATTATTATTTTTTTTTACAGAATAAAGGTGACAAACGAGCACACAGACCACCTGATGGCAAGTGGATGCTGTGGCCCATTGACATCTACATTTAACTTCGATTAAGAATCAAAATGCAGATGCGTTCTCATCCCTGAGTACTAAGATGGTATGCCTCGTTTCCAGTAAAAAGGGTCTCCGGATCTCTACACTCACCATACGAATCACAGTAGTATTAAGCTGCTATTTTAAGCTTGTATTCTATGAGAGCGTGGTCCTTCCCCGGAAGAGCCAACCCATTCGTGCTACAACCATAATATTGCTGCAGCATGGCTTTACCACGTATAAAATAAATGAATAAGCATTTTCATACAGATGTTAACATTATTCTCAAGTTTAGAATAATAGTTTTTACCAGTACATACTAATGTATTTAGATATACGAACTCGTATAGCAATTGGTGCTATCGTTAGGGCCTTCCATATAAGTCTCGTATCGTTATATCGTTTTAAGGTTTTAACCCACCGTTTTAAGCCCCTTTCTTAAAACAGTGGACTAAAACCAACTGCTAGTAATGTAAGTTCCGCGGAGGACTGTGACTTGGAAGTGGTCTCAAGACATAATGGTAGCTCAGCGAGAGTGCTGAGGGTAGTAGATACTGTTCTCAACACGTGGTAACAGTCAAGCAAAGCAACGGAGGGACCCCGGTTGCGTTCCTAACAGAGATCCCGGGACCTACGCTTGTGGTAACCACTGTGGTGGTTTTAGCCAGTTAAAGTTCAGTATAACCTTTCAGTTGAATTCATGAGGATTTCCCCATTGTAAAAAAACCATTAACCTACATTTATTAACCATCTATCATTTTAAGATTATTTGGTAAAAAAATATATATATTTAAAAATGGAAATACATCTAAATATTTTTGAACACAGAGCGGCTTCCTATGGGTGCGTTTTCAGCGAATTAAATAAACATTGAAACATTTGGTGCCGTTTATAATCAAGATTAAAACATGACTATTATTTATTTGTTCACCTACTTCTTTAGTGAACACATTCAACATTCGCGCTCATAGTTATTTATTAAACGTACGAAGCAATATGTAATGTAGTTATATACATATACTTATAGGTTATGGGATCTGCGAATTCGGTATTATACTTCACCATCATCGACATTAGAGTCCATCACAAGTACACTGACAAACAAAGCCTCTTTGTAGGTTATATGTGGATAATAAATATTGTTAGATATCAAATCGCTTTTAACCACTGTATATTGTGATCAGTAATATCTTCAGCTGTTGAATTTGAAAACAAATGCTCTCATTCCATTAAATAACATGCTAGTAGATTAGATCATGGATGGGCTTTATTACGTAGAGGCATCTACTATTGACTATAAATTGAATAGTAAAAACTAATATTTTTATGCAACTCTAATTACTGGCAGACTGAAAACGCGTGTTGTCGGCGCGAAAAAATACGACTAGTGCATAGGCCAGGGATGGCGAACCAATGGCACGCGTGCCAACGATGGCACGCGACACAATATTTTGGGCACGCCACCGATCACAAAGTTCACTATGAAGTATTATATTACGAACGAACGTGAGTGATCCTAGTTATATCGTGGACTACTATTGCTAATGACGCATAGTTTGTTTTATTATCATCATCATCATTGCAAATCTTCACAAGTCCACGCCTCTCCCAAGGAATGCATAGTTCGATTATGCATAGTCAATTTCGTTGATGTATTGAAAAGTTCGTTTGTGTTATATATATGATTTTACAACCCCAATATCAGTTATTTGTCATCTAATCTGCAACAACGGAAGTTACAATAATGTTACTTTCATTTGAATTACGCATAAAACTAAAACATTTAATAATATACATTGCAAATTTTGTCAAAAAATGTCTCAATTTAAAACAATTTTTTTTTTTGTACTAAATAAAGAGTTTCGTGTCCATAGTATAGTACTATTATTTTCTCAATGATCACGAAATCAAATTTATTTTACGGCACGTCTATTACCTAATTAAACATTTCTTTAGAAAAATGGCACGTTGAGACATAAAGGTTCGCCATCACTGGCATAGGCCCTTAGCTGCTACAACGAGGCTCCCCCCTATGCGTCCATTTTCTAAGGCAGAAAAAACTCGCCTAAAAATATTTTTCACTGAAACCATGTACCTTTTTTCAACTAATGGAAACATCCAGATTGAAAAAGAAATCGCCTAAAACCGGAAAATATACAAATTTTATGTTTTTAAATAAAAACTTGCTAATTATTAGAACAATAGAAAATCATCAAATGAATTAGTTATTTATTACCATGGCGAGATATTCGTATTCGTATTCGTATTCGACGAATAGTAGGTTTGATATTCGTATTCGTAAAAGTAGTATTCGTTGCATCACTATGAATTATCTTCAAAGATGTCGCCTCGTATCTCGTACGACACCCACGGGACGATATGGGGCAGTAGTCTAGATTTTTAAAGATTAAATAAACACCACAAATTCAACAAATCTCATAGGATTTACAATATCATGTAATATTTTGATTACCTACAAATTACTTTCCTTATAATCCTTTCTACAAAATTAGGTGACTAAGTAATAAATTTTATCAAATTGATTAGTTTAGCTTAAGACTAAGCTTAAACACCACTAATTGAACAAGTTTTATTCAATATTGTTCTATAGAATCTTCATTATCAGTTGTCTTTAAAATGAATAAAATTAAATAATTTTTTTTCACTAAAAAGATGACTAGAAAATATTGACAAAACTAATGAAGTTCTGAAAAATTGAATGATGAACCAATTTAATTAGTTAAGGCGTTTCCCCTAGCGAACGACCTTTAGCGTTCAGTCCTATACAATTCACGCGCTCTCGCTACAATATATCGCGTAAAAATACGCCCGAATTTTTGAAATTATTTCAATTAAAAAAGAAAGGCGAACTTAAGAAATTAAATAAAACATGAATGATATAGATTTTTAAATTATCTATCCACTAGTGTAATCCTGAAGTGATGAGAGTGTTGCCTTTAGCAACAGATGCATGTAATTATAGATAGATTATAGAGATAGATAGACATTATAAATAGATTTTAAATGTATAGATAACACATAAAAACAAATTATAACGTAGAATGTGATGATAGGATATCAAAGATTAATAATGTGCTTTTAGATGTAGCTTATTTCTGTAGCTATTCCATAACTAATGAGATAATAGTCTCTGAAAAACGAACTTTTGCAAGGTTTTGGTCGGGGTACCGCCTTAAGCTCTTAGTATATTAACCACTCAGACCAATAAAGAAATTAAGACAGCGCTGAGTTTGTTTTAATGAGGGCTAATAATAATGTTCGTCTCACCAGAAGTCTCTGGTTGACTGAGGTGAAGTTTTTTGTTACAGTGTCATTTAATAGAGTTAAGTTAGTTTTTTAAATAGAAGTTTATCAGTTTTTACAATATTATACTAATGTATAAAACAATGCCTCGGTGATTTGCTGTTTAATTTTTTGCACATTTCTAACACTTTTTTAAATGTTTCTACTTTTAAGGGTATCTGTGAATTGGTTTATTAAATTTAATCTAATTAATTTAAAATAGAACTAATAGTATGCACAGAAAGAAACATTAATCTTTACGTTTTTCGAACAAATTAACTTCCCCGCCAAGAAATCTGTCAATTTGACTTATTTTTAAGTGGCGACACTGGTGGCACAAAAAGTCGTGGATGGTCATTGACGCAAAAACAAAGCCAAAACAATGGTCAACTTGTAAGAACAATGACTAACGTACAGTACATTTTATATACCTAATATACATTTTAAATAATTTCTAACGTACATCAACGACCACTAATTTTTATTAGTGATCGATGACCTACATAGTTTTAGATGCCACAAATGCGTCGAGCTGTAAAATTTTACTGGCTGATGAAGAAAGAAAGAAGAAAGATTTGTGCGTGAGTGCGTTTTAAGATGTTAAGCATGGTTTCCGAGTCAATTGAAATGAACGCAGCGCTCTATCTTTCACCACTTAATTCAGGTAAGCTAAGTCATCGGTTTTAATAATTAAATTGAATGTAGAGGCTATTTCTAATTAAAATAGCATAAAATAACATCATATATAATGTTTTGTAGCGTATTTGTCGGATTTTGGAAACAATTTGGTCTCAAAATTGCATAACAACCAATTTACATATCTTCATGGTGACATTCATCAGTTTTCTACACCAGCAACAGCCGAAAGATCTTTGCAGATGGACTTTTTATTTTGAGGAAGAGAACCTCCTACCTCAAGAAAAATTAGTCTCACAGCACAAGTGAAGGAAATATTAGATATTAGGCTCTACTACGTATGAAAATGCATGTGCAAATGCAACGTGTAGGTGGGTGGCATTAAGTGTAAAATAAACGTATAATTCGAACCCACAAGTGTGTAATCATTAAATCTAAAACTTACAATTGACACTGAGCTGCACGGTGGCGTTGTACTGACGTCCGTCGGGCATGGCGCGGTTCCAGACCACGCAGCGGAACACCGCGCCGTCGTCCTCGCGCTTCGGCACGAGCACCAGCGTGGCCACCGAGGGCTCCGCGCGGGTCCGCCCGTGCTCGACGGCCGCGTCCAGCGCCACCGGTGAGCCCTCGCGGTACCATCTGAAAACGGACATACCTTATCACTTTTCCGTTGTTAGATCAATTGCAATTCACGCAGATAGACCTCACGTGAGAATTTCAAATCATTTGAAAATTTAAAGATGTAACTTAAATATCATAGAAAAAAAAAACAGAGATAATGAAAACGCCAGGATTTACTGAACACGAACGAATATTTAAAATTTTGAGAACAATTTTAATTGAAAATAGTATTGGATTTCTATAAGATTTGTATTGAAATGTCGGTTAATGTCATAGTTACATTTATAATGTATATATAATAAAAAAATTACGCCTTCCATATGTAAGTAGCTAATTTATTTTACGATGTCAAATACAAACAATACTAGAGTCATTTAATCAAAGTAATAGCCGTTTAAAAAAAAAGGAAAAGAGTAAATCTTTAACTATGTAAATTAGGCTAATACTTTATACTTAAGTAATTTTTTTCGTATAGGCTAAGGGATATCATAATTTCAATGTTGTTGAAAAAGTTACATTCAAGACTTCATTCCCTATTTTGCCCACAAGCGGTGGGTTTTTCTTTCCTTTGGACTACTCGTGAAGTATAACCTATTTATTATAAAAAGAATCATCAAAACCAGTTCACAATTAATAAAATAAATAATTTTTATTTCATTTCCAATTACACATGTTTACATACAGGAACAAATAAAAATAACAAGCAATATCAAAAATAAAACTATGTGTAGCTTAGTAATGTAGAATCTACAAAAAAATATTAAAAAGTCACGTTTATAATATTAACTACCCGCCTGAACTAGGTTGTGTTTCAGACCAAATTGACGAAGATACCGCGAAACATCGAATTATAAACCTACTCCTATGTTTGAAGACGATTAAAATGAGAATAAATATGCTATGCTACAGATAACTCATATTACCTAAATGGTATTTAATTTTTGGACAAAGTCACTTTAATGTATACACAACACATGGAATTTATTTCTTGCTGTACTGCAACGACTAATGCTCCACCGTGTTTGAATCGCTGTCCTGTCAGATAATCTTAATCGCTGATCGCTGGTCACAGGAGATAATAGTCTGCAGTTAATGGGCTCTGCCCATTCTCCCGTTCTATTATGTATGTATTATAGTATTCTATGATACTATAATACATACATAATAGAACGGGGGAATGGGCGGAGCCCGTGTAGCCACTAAAATGCCACAAGACGTCAATTCACATGTATAAATGTCAACACGAGATGTGTTTTGAAGTTACAATCGTTTCCAAATTTCGCATGAAAATTATTTAGAAAATACCAAATTATGTATGTATGTATTAAATTATGTATTAAAATCCGTCTGTCAACATGGCGGGTTTGTACTCGTAGTAGTGATTAACTGATAATACGACGCACTTCCTCGTACAAAATAAGGTTGACAACCATTCTACTGTGTATTATAGTATTCTATGGGGTATGTTCCAAAACGTTTTCAGTATACTGCCGAATACAAATGACGTCATAAATTGACAATATATTGTACTGGTGTGCCGCCAACATATTGAGTCGGATATCCGGCCATAATAAAACAACTTTTAATTGTGTGTGCACTGAATGAAGCATGTCAGAATTTGTTTTTATATATTCAAATACAAAAAAATATAGAATAATTGCTGGTATCTTCATTAGGGGGATATAATGATTTTGGAGCACAAAATGACAAAATAATCGCCAACACTTTTCCGATGTGGCGCAAATGTATGACGTCATATACTGTCCTATGTTTTGGAACGAATCACCAGTATAGCGTCGGGTTGTATTTTGGAACATACCCATGGTGTGCAGTAGCCACTTACCATCAGGTGGGCTGTAAGTTCATTATTAGTCATTTCAAACTTATAAAAATCTCGGGAAAAGACATAAATCACAAGGTGCTAGTTAATATGGGGGCTGCTCTGCTGCTATGGTTTATCAAAGCCAGCATCTCAGCATTGCAACATGCTGAATTTGACAGCCGGGACATTACGTGGATGATTATGTCACAAACATAAGAGGAAACAATTTTTACAAGTCTGTCGTACCGTGTTCACGAATTTAGTTGTGCATTTTATTTTATTCCTTCTACATATAAAGTGCTTGTAACGGAAGCTCTCTGATCTATATATTCAATAATTACTGTCCCTTAGCTACCCAAAACAAGAGCCCATGATGATTTCTTAAATTTACGCGAACACTACACATTGACAGACTAACACATAGACATACTACAAGCCGCTGAAGAAGATTAGTCAATTTTTACCACCCAAAAAAATTCCTCTACAAGATGCAGGTGTGTACAAGCTAGATTGTGAATGTGGTCTCTCTTACATAGGTCAAACAAAGAGATCTATAAAAAACCGCGTGAAGGAGCATATAGCTGATGTGAAGCACCGACGCTCCGGGAAGTCTGCAGTTTGCGAACATGTTCAAGATCGTCCCCACCATTACATTAGATTTGATAAACCACAAATTCTCGCAAAAGAACACCGATTCCTACCAAGGATGATACGCGAGGCTATTGAAATTAAAAAACATCCAAATTTCAATAGAGAAGATGGTTGGGTGCTACCATCTGCTTGGGATCCTATAATTAACAAAATTAAACCAAAACCCAAGCATACCACTGCAAGACTTCATGATACTATAAGGTCGTTTTGCGTAAATCGGACCAAAAATTTATATTAAAAAAACTGAAGGTAGCCGGACTAACTATGACATTGGGACGTCAAACATCTCAGTCCCCCCCCGTGACCATAGGTGCTGTAAAGCACCCGAAACGTCGGGATAATAATAAAAATAAATTAAAGTAATTAAACGCGATAAAATCCGTAAATAATAGTTTTATTCAAAGAGCCCATGATATTATCGGCAAAATATCTCGCTTTAAATTAGTTAGTACTCAGTTGGTGATGATCTTTTCGTAGTCATTGTTTTACGTGGTAGAGCCATGCTGCAGTTATATTAGTAGTATAGTTGTAGCACGAATGGCTCGGCTCGACCGGGGAAGGACCACGCTCTCACAGAATACCAGCGTCAAATAGTAGCTTAATGCTGCTGTGTTTCGTATGATGAGTGTAGAGAACCGAAGACGGAGACCCTTTGTACTGGAAATGTGGCATTACATATAAGCCCTCACGGGTGACAACGCATCTGCATTTTGATTCCTAATCTAGGATAATCGTAGATGTATCGCGTATATTTAACTTTTTTACCCGACGTTTCGAGAGCTTTACAGCACCCATGGTCACGGGAAGGACTGAGATGTTCAACGTCCAGCTGTCATAGTTAACCGCGGTCACCATAGATTAAAATTTAACTTTTGTTCCGATCTACACAGTATGAACTTATGGTATCATGGAGTCTTGCAGTTGTATGCTTGGGTTGGGATTTAATTTTATTTATTATAGGATCCCAAGCAGATGGTAGCACCCAGCCATCTTCTCTATTGAAATTAGGATGTTTTTTGATTTCAATAGCCTCGCGAATCATCCTTGGAAGGAATCGGTGTTCTTTAGCGAGGATTTGTGGTCTATCAAATCTGATGTAGTGACGGGGGCGATCCTGTACATGTTCACAGACTGCAGACTTCCCGGAGCGTCGATTCTTCACATCAGCTATATGTTCTTTGACGCGGGTTTTAATTGATCTTTTAGTTTGTCCTATGTAGGAGAGACCACATTCACAATCAAGCTTGTACACTCCTGCATCTTGCAGAGGGACGTTACACTTGACTGATGGTAAAAACTGACCAATCTTCTTCGGCGGCTTGAAGTATGTTTTGATGGAAGCGCGCTTCAAGATGTAGCCAATCTTGTCAGTCACTCCTCTAACATACGGCAGTACAGCAGGTACACGCTCGACTGTGGCCGGCTTGTGAAGGATGGTGATTCTCACCACCATCCTTCACAGTTAGCTACCGTGGGTAAATCTTTGTTTCAGAGAGCACGAGGGATCTGTGACAGTAAACACCTGGCTGCCGAGCTCCAACATGTCAAGCAAGTTTTGCATGACAACAAGCTTCGGGTCCCGCGCCTACGTCACAGAGAACGAGTGAAGCCGGCCACAGTCGAGCGTGTACCTGCTGTACTGCCATATGTTAGAGGAGTCACTGACAAGATTGGCTACATCTTGAAGCGCGCTTCCATCAAGACATACTTCAAGCCGCCGAAGAAGATTGGTCAGTTTTTACCATCAGTCAAGTGTAACGTCCCTCTGCAAGATGCAGGAGTGTACAAGCTTGATTGTGAATGTGGTCTCTCCTACATAGGACAAACTAAAAGATCAATTAAAACCCGCGTCAAAGAACATATAGCTGATGTGAAGAATCGACGCTCCGGGAAGTCTGCAGTCTGTGAACATGTACAGGATCGCCCCCGTCACTACATCAGATTTGATAGACCACAAATCCTCGCTAAAGAACACCGATTCCTTCCAAGGATGATTCGCGAGGCTATTGAAATCAAAAAACATCCTAATTTCAATAGAGAAGATGGCTGGGTGCTACCATCTGCTTGGGATCCTATAATAAATAAAATTAAATCCCAACCCAAGCATACAACTGCAAGACTCCATGATACCATAAGTTCATACTGTGTAGATCGGAACAAAAGTTAAATTTTAATCTATGGTGACCGCGGTTAACTATGACAGCTGGACGTTGAACATCTCAGTCCTTCCCGTGACCATGGGTGCTGTAAAGCTCTCGAAACGTCGGGTAAAAAAGTTAAATATACGCGATAAATTCCGTAAAAATTAGTATTATTTCAATGTGTAGTGTTCGCGTAAATATAAGAAATCATTATAATCGTAGATGTATATGTATATGGGCCACAGAAACCATTTACCATCAGGTGGACTGTGTGCTCGCTTGTCACCCTATCCTATAAAAAAAAGACATAGACTGTAATTTTGGCTCGGGATCGTAATGGTGAAACCAGGTATCAACCATTGTTATAAAAAGAGCTTTAAACGATCAGGATCTTGTTGCAGCAG